TTAAAGAGTGAATAAATGTTCATATTTTAATTTGTGATACAATTTACGTTCATACATAAAATCTCACTTACTCCTATACAAAACGGTTCTTACTAAAAAAATGACCATCGCATATAAAGTAGCAGAATATTGAATCTAGTGTATTGTTTTCCGTTGAAACCAAATAAATAGAACTAATTGGTAAGAAGATATAATACTTTCTGCATTAGAGTTATAGTTTTTGACCTATATTCTTTTTACGCATAAAATCCTTTTAACTTCGAAACTATTAAATATGTCAACTTAATTTTGATTTCATGAAACATTAAATTTCAAACAATGCCCTTTTTGTATCGATTTTATGCATTTTAGTAGGATAACCTTGAATGTTAGACTTGTTTTCAAAGCCGTTAGTTTGGCACAGCATATCCTCTTTTGGATTTTGTGCAATTAAACCCTACCTTAAATCAATGCCCCTCCATGTATAGGCACAAACACAAAAGTTACTTTTTAAGCAAAGAATTTTTTTAAGTCTTTCTAACTTAGTTATTCTATCAATTTCCTTTTAAATTCATTTGATTTTGAGTAAAAATTACTTATGAAGTAAAATCACACTTGTCTGAACAAGAGTTACTGATGCGTAAATAGGTTCAATTCAAAAAATTGAATCTCTTATAACTTGGATCTCTAAGTCCTATATACTTGTATTTATAGGGACAATAAATTCAGCATAAATACCGAATTTGAAACTATACATCACTTGTCTAGATAGTAATGTTTAGTTTTTCCTTGGGTTATTGTGGGGCCGGAATGTAAAGTACGAGGTTCTGGTACACTTTTGTGTTGTTCTAGAACTTTGTGGTTCTAGAACTTTAAACATAATTATACTAATCAAAGATTTATAGAAGACAAACCACTTATGCCAAAATAATTTCAAAAAGTGACTTCACTCCGGATGTGACCCTAGTAATAGGAGTAGTCTGAGTTTTCGCAGAATTTTGCTGCTCTTAGCATGGCAATCTAAGACTCACACTGCTTAATTTCTTTATTTGAAAAAATAGATAAATAATTTTTGAGCTGAATATTCAGATGAGTATATGATGAATAAGAGTTCCTTTTCTAAAAATACCTAGTAAAGTTTTATTTTTTTAGACAGTTAAAGGAATTTAAAGTTACCTTAAATAGAGCCTACTTACCTAGAAGTCATGTTATTCGATCTCCAGCCAGGATCGAATTTTGTGCGGTGACATTTATTTCGCACTGTCTTTTGAAGCATATAGCTATTAAACACTTATTTTTTTATTTATTTATATTTTTTATTTCAAATTTATTTTGTTCTGTATTTGAAAAAATACTTTTAATTTTTTTAAAATCAAAATCATAAAGTATTTCCAAGTCAAAAAAAAAAAAAAAATTTCCCTACACTATTTATGTTGCATTTTAACTTAGCAGTTATGACTGTTATTATTTTTGTTCAGTTTACAAAAATGAAAACAATTTAATAAAAATAAATTTAATAATGAATTTTTTAGTAAAATGCCCTAATGGTGACCTATTGTGGCTTTATACACTGGTTATCATAAATTAAGGAAAATTCACAAAAATCGCGATAACTCTTTCAAAAGTAAGCCAAACCGTGCAAAATTTGCATATGTTGTCCACTAAGAGTAGCTGAGTAAAATTGCAATATGCAAATTAGTGGCGCTGCACTCGGCTTACGTCATCTGCCTGGAGCATAAAAGTCCAAGTTTGAGAGAAAGCACACAAATTTTACTGTGATTGCGACATTGAAAATCTGAGATAGCCAATTCGTAATAATGACCTCTAGGCATCATTTGCCTGAAGAACTACGATGGAGAGCCATCGGGAGACTAGAGGCAGGGCAGAGTCAATCAGAAGTGGCCAGATGGCTAAATGTGAGTCCATCTGTGGTTCATAGACTTTGGAGGCAATTTCAAACCACAGATTCGGCATCTAGGAGGTTCAGTCAAGGACGGCCAACTGTTACGACCAGTGCCGATGACCGATATTTGACATTAAGTGCACGCAGGAATAGAACCGCTACTCCGACACATCTTAGATCCTCTCTTGCTGCAGCCACCGGAAGGTTGGTGTCAACGTCAACTGTGCGCAGAAGGCTCCACGAAGGTGGTCTGTATGC